ATAAACTTAGGACTAACGATTTATTACAAAATGATAGGCGAATATTTTGTCAAATGGGCATTAAAGAGGGTTAGTATAGATTAAAGCGAATTTTTTTAGCCTTACCTTTTCTCTACGGACAAGGCCCAGAAGACATAATAGCTCTACTAAACTGTGTTGAATGTATTCAATAAGTTTAAATGAAAACATTGCAGTGCGAGGTAAATATTCTCCGATATTCACTGAAGCTGAGGCAAATGATTGTTTTAGTATAAATACAGTGACAAACGCGGCTTTCAATTACAACACAGGTGAACTCCGAACTTTGCGAATCAAAACAGTTTGTTTGAGCTTATTTGATTGTTTTAAATCCTTTTTTACCTTTGAACAAAGTTAGTCCAAATTTGTTAGCCTATTTAGTCCTTTTGGGACAGCATTTTCTTTTATTATTTCTAATTCCTCTCCAGTAACAGCAACAAAGCGGATGGCCGCCAGTTTGGATTATCGCTTGAGGTGATTATCGTGTGATACGTCGTACAGGTGTAATTGGTTTTGTTCGCTTCGTGATCAAGTTCGTAGTTTGTAAATTTACAAATTTACAATTGTAAAGTACTTTATTTACTGGGATATCTGCGCAATTTCGATATTCAGAACACGAAACAACAGCATCATATTTGTGAGTTTTGCAGACAGTGTCAGCAACCCCCCATCCAGGATGAGAACAATCCCCTAGTGAAGCCTCTGAGCCTTTACATGCCATGTCGTCCAGCCAGATTGGTCCCTCTCCATGTCCCTTGTCCCAGTAATCTACAGCTTTGGTAAAACCATGTTGTCTACACGCAACCTTGGTATCGCTCATGTCCCAGTAATCACGACACACTGTTCCCAACTTTCCACCATATTATATATTTTATCTATTGTTTACATTTATATATATAGTTTCACTTTTTTTAGTTTTATTCCAAGGTTTTATAGTACTAAAGAAGGCCCTTTTTTCCCAGAACGTTTATTAAAGTTATTAAACAGAAATTAGATTGTTCGACTTCGTACCTTATTTAATTATCCTATTGATTTAAACGTCAGATAAACCTGTATGTCATCGGCATAGAAATGATACCTCATGTTGTGATACTTCATAATGTCGCCAAGCGAATAGCGTACAGTGTTCGAATAGAGGCTCGGTCCAAGCACTGAAATGTGCGAAACACCACAGTTTATTTAACAAGTGGTCATCCGAGGTGCGCCCATCCAAAGTAATATGATGCGTCCCATCACTAAGGTAGGAATGAATCCTGAAAAAGGTCGCACCTGTAATATTGTAACAGTTAAAGAGTCTATTCAGCAGTTTATTGTGGTTGACAGTAACAAAGGCAGCTTAGAGTTCAAGCCTAAGCAGTAGAACGCAGACTTTGTCATCAACAGATCGAAGTATGTGATTCTAAATTCTTGAGTAATACGTTCCCTGTGCTATGGTAACTTATACTGACGCTGATTGATGCTTTTCATCCAAATTTGTAATTTTGCAATTTTTTTTAATCAAAAATATGATAAAAAATTTTTAACACTATTATTACTTTCGCTCAACTACATTATTTTATTTCACCCAAAATTAGCTATTTAAATGGAAAGGAACAATAAAGCATTATCGATTACAAGAATAATTGCTGGTCGGGGTAACTAGATCACGTAACACCAGCATCATATTTGTGAGTTTTGCAGGCAGAGTCAGCAACTCCCCATCCAGGATGAGAACAATCCTGAAGTGAGGCCTCTGAGCCTTTACATGCCATGTCGTCCAGCCAGACTGGTCCTTGCTCCCCATGTCCATAGTGCCAATAACGTACAGCTTTGGTAAAACCAAGTTGTCTACATGCAACCTTGGCTTCCTCCCAACGCCAGTAATCGCTACACACTGTTCCCCACTTTTCACCATGGTACACTTGAACAAGACCAGAAACACCAAGCAATCGTATATTCCTTATAACCTTTTATTCCTCGCTTCTTCATTTTTTTTATTTTTTATTTTTTATTTTTTTGTTCTCTACTAATCTGCTACCCCCCATCTTTTTGTTTCATTTCATTGACTGCTATTTTCTTTTGCTATATTTTAGTTCGCATGTTTCGTTCTGTTGTATATTTAACTCATCTAAATATTTATTTTTTCAATATCAAAGCAAATAGTTGATTGTGTTGTGAAATTATTTTCTTTCAAGAGAAGTCATTATTGTACCTAATCTTCTTACTTGTCCATTCCAAAAGCGACGCGGACCAAGGTTTCGACTGGAAAAAAATTTTAGGTTTTAAATACACAGTTGCAATATTGATAAGGATAGTTATCGCACAATGGCTTCCATGCATTTACCATTGTTTTAAATTTTTAGTGCAAGAAAAAAATACTTGTGAACTTTGCTTTTAGATGCTGTACTTTCCTATCTTTTTGGGGTAACGCTTGCAAGTGATTCTTGTGAGTTTGCAGCAATAATTTCCATTGAATTTTTTGGAACAATAACTGGTAGCCTCAAATTTGTACTTTTCATTCTTAAATGTCGATAGTACAAAAGCGCATATCCGTGCTTGTATCTAGCGGTTATTACACAAAATTCAAATAATTCAATCACAGATCGAGATTTTAATTGAAGCCTGATTTGAAATTTATAAATTCCAATACAAAAAAAACAAAGATAGAAAAAAACCGGACCTGGTTGAGGGCATTGTTAATAGGACATAGGTCCCAAACCAATTATACTAAAAGCTTGATCAAGAAATGAAAGGCTTTTCAATAAAATTTTGTACTATGATTTTGTATAATATTTAAATCTAACGGAAGTCTGGATCAATCAAACTTTTTGCTCGATATTCAAACAATATTAGATTAATTTACTGGGATCACAGTTTTTCAGTCTGCTATTCCACATCTACGGTTGTAATGATCGCCAAGATCTCACACTTGCATGATCTTTTCGCACTCTTCTCCCTTCTGCCTTGCACTAACTCTTTCCCATCCATGACGGATTTTCTGCAGCGGGATGTATAAACAGGGCATATAAAGCAAAACCCTGAGAAATATCACTGCAAAACCCAGGNNGCATTAAAGAGGGTTAGTATAGATTAAAGCGAATTTTTTTAGCCTTACCTTTTCTCTACGGACAAGGCCCAGAAGACACAATAGCACTACTGAATTCTGTTGAATGTATTCAATAAGTTTAGATTAAAATATTGCAATGTCGAAGGCGGTGTCATCGCTTATGAATGTTTATGACGGGTTAATGTTAATTGTTTTTGTTTTGTATTGTTTGTTTGTTTTTGTCGTTTTTGTTCATGTTTGTTTGTTTGTTTTTTTTGAAAAATAGCAAATCCTTTTTAACAGCAAGATCGCTTCCAAGGGCTGCTAGGACTTCGAACAGTCCAGTCACAGAGCGGCTTATATAACTCGCAGTTTCCCGGGAAAACCAATAAAACATTCCGTGTTTAGTTTGTCCGCGTGCGATTTTGTAGCCTCCTTTGAGGAATATGGAGGTTAATACACCCAAAAAGCTGGTAAACGGGGACCTCCGTTGTTATTTGTGTAATGGTAGTACCCTTGTCAAAGAAAGAATTAAAATCTTCGGTAATACAGCACACGATCTCCCACGGTTAATCAAGTCTGCGCCGTTTGTCGAACTTAGTGATTATGCCGCTAACGACTTGTTTGTTTGTACGAATCGTTGTTAAGAATGGCAAGTAGAATTTGAGATAGAGAAAAGAGATAGAGAAAAACATCACTGAATTGAAAGAAGAACTCTTAAGAAGTTTTAATGCCAACCGAGGCCAAAAAAGAGTCAAGAGACTACGAATAGATTCCGACATCTGTGAAAGATCTGCATTACGTGCTCGTACAACAACAACAAACACTGCGGCAAAGTCTTTATCGTTTGAACCTACCGCTTATACTTATCTAACAACGTCTGAATCGCATGAAGGGCCTCTTCTTGGTGATCATTTAATAATTCTATCTTAAATTTCTCGCAAACAACTTCAAAAGCTGATTCAAGATCCGCCATTTTACTCACGATGTGTGAAATGTAGCGCGGAGCCTGGATCTTAGCCACCGAAATTTAAAAGCCACGCTATGATTGTTCTGTTCTGTTCAGCAGACGTTAGTGGGGGAGGGATAAGAGACCGACACAAAAAACGTCTGCAAAAGAGGCTAGTTTCGTGATCAAGTTCGTATTTTTAAATTTACAAATTTACAGCTGTTGATTTACAATTGTAAAGTACTTTACTTACTGGGATATCTGCGCAATTTCGATGTTTAGAACACAAAACAACAGCATCATATTTGTGAGTTTTGCAGGCAGAGTCAGATACTCCCCATCCAGGGTGAGGACAGTCCCCTAGTGAGGCCTCTGAGCCTGTACATGCCATGTTGTCCAGCCAGATTGGTCCCTCTCCTCGTCCATAGTCCCAGTAACGTACAGCTTTGGTAAAACCAAGTTGTCTACACGCAACCTTGGTATCGCTCATGTCCCAGTAATCATGACACACTGTTCCCCAATTTCCACCATAATATACATATATTGTCTATTGTTTATATTTTGTATATATAGATTATACTTCATAGAAAGTGCGGCGTACGGGTTTATTTTCGAACGAGCGAGGTATGAGCGAGTGAGTACTTTTACACAAACGAGTGAACATAATCCCGTACAAAGCACTTTCTATAACGTTTTCTCTTTATTATATATGTTATCACATATGTAGAATCACATATGAATATTTGTTTCTTTAATGAAATAAAGACACAATTATCGAAGCGTTACATACTTGGCCTTCCATTATTGTTGTAGGGTAATCTTTAATTTTTTTCCTAAGTATCGGTCAAAGCTCGATATAAATAACCTTAAAGTCGTCGGATAGTATTCGATCTCTGTCTTTCTTTCCGACTTCAACAAGGAAGGCAGAAAGCAGCTTGTTCAACTCTCTTGGGTCTATTTCTTCAAGGTTTTGATCCTCATTTTGGTCTTCAGGTATTCAATCAACAAAGCCAGGTCTCTTTTAGTCTTATTTATGTGTTTTTCCCCTTATAGTTTTGAATGAGTTCTATTATTAATTGGATATTGAAGCGGCACGAAACGACTCGCCATTTTGTTGACTACAACAGCTACAGAAAAACGCAATTAGTATGCTTTAGGCGGGAAGCCATTCAAATGTCACGTTTTCTCGTTTTCTGATTGGTTGGATTAGTTATATTTTTCCGATTAGTCGTATCGCTTTTTAATATGTGAAACTATGTAAAGCATAGAGATTTTTATAACACAG